GCTGGGCGGCCCGGGCCGTGCGCGTATAGGAGCGGTGAGAGACCTTGGAGATCTCCTGGAACCTCTCCCGGAGCTCCGGGGAAGACTGCCAGAGCTTCTCCTTCATGATCCCAAATCCTGCACATGCGCGGAGGTGGCCGGGGCGCGCGCCGGGCGCCCGACGGTTTTCGTGGGCGGGGCGGAGCCGAACTTGCTAGTGCTGGGCACCCGAAACCACTGCATTTCTTAGTTCTTCAAGTCTCATCCCAAGTCTCAAGCTGCTACCACCGCCATCACACCACCGCTCCACCTCTGCACCGTGATGCACGAGGCCGGTCTGATTCTCACCCCCCCCTCCCCGACTCTGGCCGGACACACCCGCCGGCCGCCCAGGGGTTGAAACCCCTCCGGCCGGCGGTGTCCGCACCTGGAAAGCCCGTGCGGATGCCCGAGGAGGACCAGTAGCTGGCGCCCAAAGGGTCCGTCTTCTCTCGCCCGGCAGGCATCCAGGGCGGCAGGTCCCGGTCCCCTGCAGTGAAGGACGTGTTAAGGACATCATCGAAGTCCGGGAAGGGTGCCAGTTGGCCAAGGTGAATTCACATCAAGAGTCGCATCAAGAGTCGCCAGGGATCTTCTTCTATAAAAAATAACCAGAGCATGTCCCAAAGGTGAGCTCACTCCATCCCCTGCCCATCGGACTCATTGCTTGGCGCTTCCGCGGTTCGCCTCCGGGCCGCTGCAAGCGTTCGCCCCGGACCTTCACCACCCGCCGTTCCGGCATGGAGGGCACCGCACAAGGCGCGGACGCCAGGTCCACGTAGACGCGGCCGAACTCGTCGGCTTGGTCCTTCCGAGTGTGGGAAGAGAACGAGGGTGGTGAGTGGGGTGTGAGGGATGAAGACGGAGTTGAGGGATGAGTGGGTGGGAGAGGGATGGATCGGATCATGGTGCGTGTTCTTGTTTGTGCTTCTCTTTTCCCGGGTCCCCCCTGAGTGATCCAATTTGTGATCCTCTGAACCGGTTCCCGCCGCAGGCACGACCAATCGCGCTCCGAATCGCTTTTCGCCCCCGGCACCGCGCGGGCCGTTCCCGCTCCTTGACCACCGTGCCTACCAGGCCGTTGAGCTCCTTGCGACGCGACAAGTTTTGGATCACCACCGCGTCGCCCAGGCGCCAGTGCTGAGCTGGCTCCTCAAAGGGGAGGGAGGCATGAGGGTCGTACAAGATGTGCGTGCTGCGCACGTGGAGGCGTGAGGAAAATGGCACTCTGCGAGCTCACTCAGGTGTGCGGCTAGCTCACATTGCTTGGAGTTCAAGGTTGCGTGAGCAGTTTGACGTAGTTTGGGGGATGTTTTCGGGCTACTGCTGCTGGATTGGGTCCTTGAATGCTCTTGATGGTTCTTGACCAGAGTTTTTTTGGATCTAAAATTTCCTTGCACACTCTTGCAAGCAACCTAATCAATCACCCGCAGGCCCCTCTTAACCAGGAGCTCCTCATCGGCAGGACCCTTCTCAACTTCCAACCGCAAAGTTCATGCACTGTGGCATACCATGCACTTCAACCACCCCGCGGCAATCTGAGAACACGTCTTTTTCTGGGGCCCTATGGAAGAAAGTTAAGGACCTAGGCGCATCCATACTTCCCCAAGGGTCACCACAATTCAATGGGTACACCGGCGGATGAAAAGAAACAGAGTTCATCGAACATGATCCAAGCACCTTGACACCTTGACACCTTGAATCACCTTCGCACCCTGCATGCCTGGCACACAAACCCACTAGAGTCCACTAGACATCATACTTGCCAATCTAATGCCTATGAACTAAAGCCAGAAACGAGAAGCCTAGAGACACACTCCCTGGAATCATCATGGAAGTGGACCAAAACACCTATGCCGATGCCTATATATATGTTTGCTATTCGGAACATGGCCATGGGACAGGGGTCATGTTATCCACTTCCATGATGATGCCAGGGAGTGGAGTTCTTCCTTCACCAGCTCCGCTGACGTCATCTGCTCCTCAAGACCTCGGAGCACCAGCCCTGGTCGTCGAGGAGGTGGAGCGATGAAGGCCGAAGCACGCTTCTGTCCTCGCAGCATCTGCATCTCGGCCGCTTCGTATGACATGTAGACTCTTGATGAATCAAACATGGATTCTAAAACCTCTTCAGGCTTGGGAGGGCTGAAATATCATCAAGTGGATCTACAGTACTCCCCATTTGGAGTGTAAAACTTCTTTGTCACAAGGGTGCTTGATTCGTTTCAGAGTCGACACTAAGATCCTTTCTTCGGCTGCACCCCATCTTACACCGTCCCGAAGCCCTTTGACCTGAACCCAGGACCCCACAGGACCCGTCCGTTAGGTGTCGATATCTTGTCGTGGATCACTCGCTTTACCAGTGGAAATGGGAAGTTTGAGGCTCCCGAAAAAATGAAAAAAACCTACAATCGAATGGGGATGGGGGATCATGTCCCTCTTCCACCCGAAGTTTCAAAGCGCACCTTGTCCGGTACAAAAGGATCGGAAGGTGAGATGCTCCTTCTGCTGCTGGTCCTTCCGTTGCCAGATCCGTCGACTGCTCCGATCCGTCGGCAGTTTCTCGTCGGTGCCGATGCGAACGAAAGAGGTGAGTTCGGTGTGCGAAAAGGTGCCTGAGCTTGTGTGAGACAAATAGATAGGATCAAATAGAAAAAAATACATTTAAAAACATACTTTAAAAAAAAAAAATATATATATATGAAAAGGTGAAATGGTGCAACAAGACATCTCACTTCGCTCACTTTGCAACAGGTCAGTTTCTAGGTCGTGTGCTCTGTCATGTCGAAGAGCGATGAGACTTCAGCCCTCCTTTTCAAGGGTCTTTCAATATACCAACGTTGACCCCAAACAGTTTGCTTGGTCCAGGTCCAAGTCCAGACAAGTGTAGAATCATGCGGCCACAGCACCCACAAAGGACTGGAGACAGAACCCCTCACAGGCAAACCTGTTTGGGGAAAGAGACAAACTCTCCAATGCCTGGACCATCGAAAGGGTGCCTAATGGAGACCTATAAGTAGTGTATATAATTTGTGTTGTCTATTGGTGACCCGTTGGAAGCAGCTGGTAGAGATGCATTTCTTACATGTTGTCTTACAAATCTCCAAGATGGGCCTTTTGTTGGACCTTCGATTCTACCACCCTCTGATTTGGCCGGTGCCGCAACCGGAAGATGGCTCTTCCCAGGCGTTCTGTTGGCGTTCTGTCTTGAGGTGGGTAGACCGGTTGGAATGCCCAGGAAAACAGGTGTATTCTTCATCTCCCACTGACTGGAGATTCAGGCAGGATTCAATGGCTGAATTTTCGGCCATGACTTTCTCCCTTCCTCCCATCCTCATCCTCCCAGATCCGTCGCTGTTTCAACCCGCAGCGATTCGGGGTTGACTCTTGCTGCGTGAAAAAGCACGAGAAGGACAAGGAACTCTGCTCTTTCGAACAGCGACACCACACGAAACCGCTTGATTTGGGTGTATTCATTCTCTGTTCATCATGCTCCAGAAGGATCTTGGCTAGAAACAAGCGGAACCATGCCACACGGGAACAGGGTTTCCCTTCATTCCAAGTATTCCAAATTCCAAGTATTTAAAGGGAATGGGATTGAGGTATGACTGAGGACCCCTGAAAATTAAACTGTTTCTTGGAGTTTAACGATGCATGCAAATTGAATTGTCATGTTTTTCCAAGGATGAATTCGGATGACACACGGTCCAGACCACCCAAATCGAAAACGGGGGCTCACATGGTGTCTCACACAGAAAGGACTCCACACTGCAAGGACTCCAGCGTAGATGCGAAGGAGCTTTCTTCCCACAGAGGTGCTACTTTTGCAGCGCCCCTTTGTAGATCCACGCTGTGTGATTCGACTTGAAGGAGTTGCAGTCGTAACCCCCGAAGTAGATGGATCCTTCCTTGCGAAGCACCGGCTTTGGCGAAACACAGAGTGACTGTGGAAACCCTATGGAACCTGAAACTCTGCAGGGAAGGAAAGTTGTTGAGGCAGCGTGTCTCAATAAAAATACACTCGAACCCTGGGCCTTAGGTGGGATCTTCACCCAGAACTCCTATGGAACAGCTGACAAAAGCAATTTGGGCGCCAAGTCCGCATCTGAAGAATCCCATGCAAATTATTGGCGGTCCACCGGAGGTGAATGGAAAGCTCACTCAGCTTGGACTCAAGTCGATCTGTTTTCAGAACCCATCTCATGATACATGCCCCAAGCAGCCCCCAACCCATGCATTTCATCCAGGGTTGGATGTTTCCTCGAGTCATCTTCCATCAATGTGAATTCAGGCCCTTGGAAGGTACCCCAAAGATGCCGAGCCAAGATACCACATGCAACGTCACGCCAACCGCTTGCATAATCAACAAGAAGTTCGGCCTCCAAAAGTGCCAAGAACGCATTCTCGACCCAAATCGCCACCCAGACACCTCCTGACATGCCAAGACTTCAGCTAAGCGTCCTCCTCTGGAAAGGGGCTCACTTCAAAGCAGCGAACGGCCGTTAACGGCCGTTGCACTTTGCTGCCACGACCCCCCCACTTCCAGGACCTCAGCGTCGCGGCGGCGTGTCCCATTTGCGGGTGTTTGTCAGCAAAACCGCTGGCGGTGGCAGAAAAGGCTTGCGGTGGCAGTGGTTTCAAAACTGGTGGTGTCCCCCCCCTGGTGAATTGGAACCCCCAAAAACATATCTACAACCTGCACGTGTCCATCGTGGAATGTCTTTGAGAGACATCCATCACTTATGATGAATCGACCTTCCACCAGACAGATCGACCGGTTCGACCGTCGGAGAAACCCCGAGCACCGCTTGCGGCGGGCCGGCGATCGCTGGCGAGAAACACTCGACATGGTTTGGGGCGATCAAAAGGCGAAAGAAGGAAGTCAACTGATCTTGAACGGGGAACCAACAACTTCTTTTTTGCTACAGGCGACAAGGAAAACAAGCAAGATGAATTTCCTCCAAAGAGGGGGTGTTCCCTTCTCAGTTTGTGGAACCTCTTGGTGCAAAGCACCAGTTCATCTTTCTGCACGTTTTCTCTTCAAAAAATATCGTTCTGAGCGCAGCCCAGGGAACATAGTAGTCATTCTCCGCCACGCGCACGGCGAAGCCACCCCCCTGCCTGATTACAGGCCACAATGCATTTGTTCAGCAGCAGAAAGAAAATAACAATGAGGATCACAATAGAAGTAAAATCAACAACGCTCCGATGTGCATCAGAGGTGCCCAGAAGCCTTTTTGATTGGGGTCCCTTCCATGTACTTTGGCTTGCTCACCCAGATAGATTTCGAAACCAATCAGATGGCAAGGCGAGCCCAGAGAGGCTGGCAACATGTTGTTGTAGGCCGCCAGAGTGTAGTGCAAATCCTGTGTGCCCAAGTAACTCTTCGCCAACCTCCTGAGAATGAAGATCTCAGAACTGTTTTCTCTCCACTCAGCACTAAAGAAGTTCAGCAACTCTTGTGGGGGGTTAGTTGGGAACAGAATGTTCCAGTCGGCGGGCATCAACGTGCTTCGTCCAGAGTCGATACCGAAGTCTCCATGCCTGCTGCGAAGGGAAAAAGCATGAAAAGCCAAAAGAATGGTTACGGAGTTGTGATCACCTGTATAAGGAAGGATTTGGGTGACCTTGACCTAGTTTGCAAGCATATCCACGAGCTGAAATCTGACTTTGAAGTGAGTACCAGACAGTTCCTCTTCAAACTTTCATGTCGCTTGGTGAAACCTACCGCCCCAACCGGTCCAAACGCCCGCTCCGAGGCGAAGCACCTCACGCTCCACGCGGCGCCACGCTTCACCCCACGCGGCGCCAAGCTACCGTGGAACGGTGATAGACGTTTCGTCTGACATAAAGCAAGTCATCCACAAAGAACGGATAAACCTATGCGATATAAACGTTCACCCATAAAGGGAAATGTGACCAAGTCTGGCCATGGGGGTTTAACCGCACACAATCATCTTTGAGCATATTAGATACACATCAAATATCATTCAGGCACTTATAGTAGTGCTTTACAAGTAGCCGCTGTGATTTTTGAGGTACACATCATTTAGCTCTAAAACAGGCTAAAGCCAAACTAAGATTACCTAAACAAAACTATATTAAGTTAAGGTTTCCTTTTTTGAAACTAAACCAAGCTAAGAAAAACCAAGATAAGCTAAGCATAGTTTTTGGAAAGTTGTTGAAAGTTTCATCTACAGCAATTCTTTTATCCAAAGAAAATCAATGAACTTTTTGATGTTTTGCACTTTTAACTCATGACACGACAATGTAGCACCATAGAAGGCTGTGTTTGTGGTATGGCAACCACAATTAAACCACAAATGTACCAGCACAAAAGGCTGTAGATTACTAGGAATAAATTAGTCTGAGTTAGCCTGTTTTAGCGCTAAAGTTGTCCATCAGACAGTCTAAGCAGCCACTTGCAAAGCAGCCACCTATGGGTATGAAAGAAAATACATAGAACATCATAGAACTTTCGTACGGCGCAAACATTCCGCTGCTCCTTGTTAAAGGCTTCTCCCCAACTCGTGGGCCCCTCCCGACCTGCAACCTGATCCCTCACCAGGCGGCCGAATGGACGTTTCCTCCACCGGCGGCTGCAAGGCTCCATCGGCGCCCGAATCGGTGCGCAGAATCCAACTCTCCGACTTGTCGTTGGGGTTCCAACAGAAGAGGATCGACTCCTTGGGTTGGAGGCCATCCGCTCTTAGCATGGCCTCCTTCGGACGTCCGAGTTTTGACTTGTTTCGGATCCACTTCAGTCGATCTCGACCAAAAGGGGGGGGATGGGAGGAGTATGAGTTTTGGGGGGAGTTTTGGGGGGTTGATGGTAGGGAAGTCATGAGTTGTAAGATTTGAAGGGGGACCAAAGTTCAAGATTTACCTCATGCTGTAAAGCAGAACAAAGAAAAGAAACAACAACACTCGCCCTTCGTCTTGAGGTCTCACTTCTACCCAGGCAGGCACCTGTGAAACCTGGGGGCCGGAGCAAAGTTATCCAGAGACGCGCCAGCAGCAGCAGTCGTTGACACAAAGATGAGTGTCTGATAATTTATGTGTTTTTTTGGTTGAAAAACATGATACAACCCCAAGCTCGGGGAATAACATGGAATAACCTCTTTGGTCAAATCTCCAAAGAGTCATCCTGCCATAACTCCTGCCATAACGTCCTCATCTCAATTCCAAGCATCTTTGGTCGGATCCGTCGGGCAGCTGATCGCCGTCATCCCCCGGATGCCGCCCACCGCCTCGTTCAGCGGCCCGTTGGCCGAGCGGAGCTGCGCAATGTCCAGCACGCCGCGCCACACTGGCTGCGGCCCATCAATCCGCTGAAGGATCCAAGAAGCACTGGACATGTAGAGCTTCCTCAGGTGCTTTCGGTGCTTTTGTAGAGCTTCCGTGGGGTCGGGAGGCACCAGGTTTGAAAGATTCGACATGTTGGCAAGGGATGGAAAGACGAAGATGAGCTTCCCGAGTTGGTCTCTTTAGAAGGGCGTTCTCAGTTGAGGTCCAGGTCATTTGGGGAAGCTCTGTCTAAAGTCGAAACAACATGCCTGTTTGAGATGGCTTGACTACCTCTCTGATGATGGCTTGACGGCAAAAATGAAAACCAAGAACCTGGGTGCTCCCAAACAAGCCTGGACCATTTTAGGTCTTCTAAGAGACCAGGACCCCAAAAAAAACATTTCTCACCTTGAGACCAGTGGTAGATCCTTCACAGTCCCACAGTCCGCCTGCGAACAGGAACAGATGTGCTGCCCGAGCGTCCCATTGGCGATGACCAACGACAAGGGCCGAAACTCCAGGATCTTCGCTCGGCCGTTTCCCATCTGCGACCTCGCGTTTCCCACAGCAGTCCGGAGCCAACGGGGTTCGGACGGATTCGGGAACGGAGGTCTTCCGACGTCCATACCTTAAATGTGACTAGTAGCGAACATTGCTCCTAGTAGTAAGGCCAGGAGCCCCGTTTGTAGCGTCCTTGCTCCTAGTAGCGATGCCAGGAGCCCCTAGTAGCCTCTTTTTACATCTTCAAAAGCTGAACTTGCTGAGTCTTCGACAGATCCAAGGCCTCCTGGCATGCCAATCCAAAAAGAGCAAGTCTCTGAGACTCCTAAAGACCTGAAGAACCCTACCTCCCTACCTCCGCCTGTCCGGGGCCCGGGATGGAGACCAAGGACGCGCCAAAAAAAAGAGGTTGGTGGACGAGAGCGCCACAAGACACAAGAGCATCGTCCAAAAGTGTGTTTGGGGTTGAACAAGGCAACGTCGCCGTTAGCTGTGGGTATTTTGCACACGCTCAACGGAAAAGTTCAGGGACTGCTTCCCAAATCACCCCTAAACGCAACCTCATAACCCAAAACCCCGCCAAAAAGTAGGAACCTCACTGGAACCCCGCAAACCACCCCTAAACGCAACCTCGTAACCCAAACCCCCCCAAAAAAAAGAAGAACAACCTCACTGGAACCCCGCAAACCACCCATAATAAAAGCAACCTGGTAATCGGAAGTTGACAGAAAGTAGTAAAAAGTAGCAAAATACTCACAGCGGCTAACGGCGGCGTTGCCTTGAACAAGATTCGGCTGATCTCATAATTCTCATAGAGATTGGTTGCACTTGAAAAGCAGGCTCAGGATGCTTGGGTAGCCTTGCTTTACCATGTTTTACCGGTTTTTTTGATCCTGTTGTGGCGTGCAGTGGATAGTGGCCAGCATTTGCGCTTGAGTCTGAATCTTGGGCTTATACCCACATCATGCCACACACATCTCCACGCCATGTGCGGAGATTTCATCAACAGTGGCACAACTCTACTCAAACAGCTTTCCAAATCAACTCAAGGTCATGGGTGATATCGTCAACAAAAAGCCTTCCAGCTGACATGTAGATGCATATTCGTTCAGCTAAAATGAAAGCAAGTATAGCTCGTGAGTTTGTCTTCTGTTTGAGGAACAATCCCGAAAATCGATCGTAGCACCCAGTTGCCTTATCCTGAGCTGTTCTTCTGTCTGATTCGGAGTACTTTCATGTACTTTCCCGCTCCCATGTGGATCTCTGTCCTGCTTCTTGTCGAAGACCACGTGGCCCGGAGTGTTGCTGCTGGGATCATAGACCCCAGAGACGACGCCGTCGGGTCCCTTCAAAGAGAAGAGTCCTCAGCGGCGCCGAAGCGACGAACGTCCTCCGCAGCTTCAGCTTCTCGCTCAGCACCGGTCATCCACCGTTCAGGTGACATGGGATCCCACCTTTTCTCAGCAAAGTATACGATCTTTTGCACACACAAAAATCCGGCTAGTTGACTAAATCCTCTTCTAAAACACCCAACAGTTTTGGTGGACCTCGCTATCTCCCTCATCACATCGTTTGGGAGATTAAAAAAAAGACTTGGGGGCCATCGGCCACAAGATGCTCGATCGCCACAAGAAACCATGGCCACAACAAAGATGCTCGATCGCAACGCTCCAAGTCTGTGAAGGGCAACATCGGACGGCGATCACTGTGATTCTACTCAGGTCCTTTGACGAAGAAGCCATTGGGATTTTATGAGTACAGTATAAGACTTAGTGTGAATTCAGCGATCTTGATTTGGGTTCCTCCTCCCATGTTCTTTTACTTTCTTGCAAGTATCATATTATTTCTGTTCATCCTCCCACAAGAACAGAAAGGCTTCTGGAACTCAAATCCCCTATGCACCTTCTGAGAACCATCGGATAGGCCTCTCACCCTTTCCTTGCCACGGCTCGCTCAATTCCGGTGACCGTGTCCCGGTGGATGAGTACCGCCCGTGCCGTGCCGCTGTTGGCGAAGTTGGGGCACGGACCGGTGTAGTTGGTCTCGCTCCAGAGGTGCTGAGCGCCACCTCGGGTGCCGGAGTCTGCAGAGTTCCCACCCGTGGGTTGGGTGTTCTGGCGGCCGGTGGGCACGTTTTGTGGAGCGCCGGTCACCGAGGTCCGAAGGTGGCACGATCTATGAGGATCCCAAGTGGAACATGGGATTCTGTAGGTGGATACGGTGTAGTTGTAGGGTTGGGTAATGCTGGGTAGGTGTGAGAGATTGTCCAGGTTTGTTCCGTTCAGGCCTTCCCCACGTCCTGAGATACAGGAATGGGGGAATGAATAGTACTGGCGGTTGAAGTTTTTGGGTCATCACCCGGAAATACCAGCGAATCTCGGGTCTGGGCACCCTTCTATAGGCCTATGATGACCTATGCTCCAATCGAATCCAAGAAGCTCAGAGTGGTGCCAGTGGAGTATGAAAAACCAACTACAGATTGTCGGGGATGGAGGCCATCGCTAGTAGGGTGGAGGCCATCGCTACTAGGGTGGAGGCCATCGCTAGTAGGTTGGGATGTCTTCATGCTTCGCAGCAAAACTCCAAAAGAAAAAACAACTGCAGGGTGAGGTCAGAAGGTGACATGTCGATTGTCGATCGAAGAGTTGGTGGCTTCGCTCAAACGGTCAATGTGTTTATTGTAGCAGTCTTACACTCCCTGGAATCATTGTGGAAGTCGAGAACCACTTGTTTGTAGAGGAAATGGTCTTCCCAAGGGGCCATGCCATCCACTTCCATGTTAGTTCCAGGGAGTGTCATTGTAGCAGTCTTATGTTTTGCACAGCTCAATCGGTCCTTGAAGAATACCCGTTCTTCTCTGGCAACCATTCCGGCACACGTTCATTCCGGCAGCCATTCCGGCAATAGCCCCTTTAAGGCGAGAACAGACTGGGGAATGACCTCCAAACTCAAATACATTATATACATAAGTAAAATCTATGGTCTATGGTGTACGGGGAACCTCCAGGAGATGTCGGCTCAGTCGGCGCCCTTCCCCTTTACATTCTCAAGGAAGCAGTCAGACGGCCGGCCTAAGCCCGCCCAATCCATAGATTGTGTCCAATTTTCTGAAGTATCATCCTGTGAAAAAGGCCCAATCATGCCCAATCATGCCCAATTCGGTCCAATTCTCACCAGTCTCGTTCGAGTTCGAATGAATCGTTCAAACCCCACCCGGAGCCGCGAGCCGACCATCACGGCTGACGCCCAAGATGCTCGTCTCGGCATCGTTGCGGAACATCATCATATTGCCGTGCTTGCCTCGACGGTCGGAATTCAAGGAGCGAAAGCAGAAAGCATGCGCCGGTCGCAAGCGTTTTAGTCCCCCCCAAGTTCCAAGAAGTCCCAGTCGCAGTCCCATAGGTGCTTAGAGCAAGTTGCTTGACATACATTCCTGGAAAACACCAGGGACCACGGAGTCCCCGACCACTTCTTTGGAGATCTTGGGTGAACTTCTTTGGCACTTAAGCTGTTGGTCCTAGCCAGTAGCCTCAATCTTGGGTGAGATGTAAAAAAAAAAAAAACTTCTACCACACACACCAACTTGCGGACTCGTCCATGTCGCGCCCCTAACAGCCCTTCCACATTGTGGGGTACTTTAGGGTAGGTATTCACACAGAGATGAAGAACTCTTCCACCCCCCAAAGTCTGCTCCAGCCGTTGTTGCCAAGGCCATATGTGAGGACCAACTGCTCCACGGGTGGTCTCCTTGGAAGAAGGAGGATCCAGGAGGTTGGTCGAGTGATGGGGTCATGGAAACCAAAAGAAAACCTTGTCTTGCTTTCAAAGGGGAAATGATTGGGAACAAAGCTTGGATGCCTTTGTCGCCAATCCAGATGCCCCTTCTTCTCATGCTAAACAAACAAGCCGAATCCAGATGTTTTGTCTCTCATACAAGCCCACGACAACAATCCCAAATGCGGTTAATACGAAGCCATGCTTGCAACGAGAGTAGTATGGAGGGGCTCGTAGTCTTTGCTGCCCTAGATCTCAAGTCTATGAAATGCTTTAGCGTCCCAAAGCAAAGGATTTCATAGACTTGAGACCATAGATTCACAGAGACTTGACATCTAAAGGATTTAGACTATGAAATCCTTTAGACTTGAGTTTATGTCAAGCTTGGGGCCCGGGTGTCCTTGAGATTCATGATTCAGGCATCGCCCAAAGCGCATGATTTTCGGTCACCACACCGTGACGTGGCCGTATAGTGATTCTCCTAATATTAAAAAAAATAAAAAAGTAAAAAAAAAAAAAACTCCAGATGGTCTGATCAAAGCGCCAAGGTATGCCAAGCTTCAACTCGTTACCATGACAGTCACGCGTCCATGTAACGCTTTTTAAGCCTTGGCTGTTCTCTGTGAGAAAAACAAGACGAACGAGAAAGGCATTCAGCTAAGTACGGTACCCTTGCAACAAGATGGGTCAAAACAGTTCTGTTCGGGCCTGTGCAACAAGACCTAGGAATCCTTGGCTGAGCAAGCAGAACCAGGTTGAAGCCCTAAGAGAGGTTCAAAATCGAACCTTTAACAGTCCAAACACTGCTAGATCTTGCCTTTCACACAAAACATGGCCTTACAGGGCTTCTATACATGGGTGCACATGTCCCATTCTTGCTTGTTTCAGGGGTGCCAAGGATCTCTTTCTTTATCTTCTTTTTGTACATCTTCTTGCAAGCGAGAGTATGGTCGTGTCCCATTCCTTCAAACGACCGTAAAACGGGTGATTGTTCAAATGACTTGTCAACTCCAAAAGCCCCAAGTTTCGATCCTTCCCCAAGTTTTTTGTCATGGGTTCCTTACATAGATCCCGCAAGTGGTGTTCTGAACAAATCCCAGGCACAAGTGAAGCGCATGGCGTGCTCCGACAAGCCCTGCCCTCTCATGTCCACTTGCCAGCAGCCACCCGGCGAGCTCAGGCGTCCCACGAAGTTCTTCATCGGCGCTTCTGGGATGTTCGGCGGCGCCCGTCGGTGGTTGAGGCGGTGCTGGACTTCCCGTTGGCAAGTCTTCTGAGGGACAAACATACAGTTCACCTTGAGGGAAGAATCCTGGAATAGTATGTGAAAGTTATGCGTGTGGTTTCTATTGGTTATATTGTGTATATAACACGGAATTACACGGAAATATCTAAGAAAAAAAACATATACTTCTATAGGTGAAGGATGGTTGCACTTCTTCTTACTGTAAGTGGCAGGCGGACTTGAAAAATGATGGACGCAAACCCAAAGATTGATTTCGCACAAATCAGCAGGATCCTGCATTGTTGAGTTGGTAGGGGTGGAAGTGGATCGTTCCATTTTGCATCACTCGATTCACATGTATATAAGCGCATCTCGAAATGTGTCGCCACTTACAGACCACTTTGGGATGGACATCCATTCTGATTCGGTGATGGAATATGTAGGAGCTAAATCAATCTAAAGTAACGGTA